GATTGTTAAGGACAAGTACAGAAATCTAATTTATAGGCACATGGATAACATCCAAAGGAAGTTGTGTCCTTCTCCTCCAAATCCTCCTCTTCCTCCTTCTCCTACTCCTTCTTCTTCTCCTCCTCCTCCTCCTTCTTCTCCTCCTTCTCCTCTTCCTTATTCTTCTTCTTTTTTTTCTTCTTCTTCTTCTTCTTCTTCTTCTTCTTCCTCTTCTTCTTCTTCTTCTTTTTCTTCTTTTTCTTCTTCTTCTTCATTTGATCGTAAAAGGGCTACTGCCTTATTGTCTTATGGTTTACAGCTAGGCTGCAATATCTGCACCTTGATATGGGGTGGTGGGTATATCCACCCCCTCCCTTGAGATCCCCAAACCCACAGCAATTTACTTATTACTTTGATAAAAACAAGAACAAGAACTTACAAACAGCATCTGTTTTCGATCGACAGCACCATAACCAAGCTGGAGGTCTAGCAGGCAGAATGAACAACAAGACAGAGATGGCAATGGCTGGTGTTGAGTCTCCAACATATCTGAGGAAGAATTCAATTATCACTGTAGCAAAAGGAAGTAGCCAACAGAAGTAGCACGTAGAAATATGAAGTAATCTAAAGAAGTTACATTAAGTATTTAAATTAGTCTAGAGATGTTTCATGTACCTGTTTGAATAATCTATAGAAGTAGCAATGTAAAAAAGTGGAAGTATCATGCACATATATGAAATAAGCAAGAGCGGTGACATAATGAAATCTGACATGGACCAAAATTTGATACAGACCCTAATAGTAACATACAGAAATATGAAATAACCTAGAGAAATCAAATGTAAAAAAATCTAAAGAAGTTTAGAAAAGTGACATAACAAATCAGAAGTGATCCAGAGAAGTGACATAACAAATCTGAAGTGATCCGGAGAAGTGACATAACAAATCAGAAGTGGTCCAGAGAAGTGACATACAAATCTGATGTGATCCAGAGAAGTGACATAACAATTCTGAAGTGATCCAGAGAAGTGACATAACAAATCTGAAGTGATCCAGAGAAGTGACATAACAAATATGAAGTGATCCAGAGAAGTGGCAAAACAAATCTGAAATGATCCAGAGAAGCGACATAACAAATTTGAAGTGATCCAGAGAAGTGACATAACAAATCTAAAGTGATCCAGAGAAGTGACATAACAAATGTGAAGTGGTCCAAAGAAGTGACATGCATAAATCTCAAGTTGTTCCCAAAAGTAAATTGAAGAAATCTTAATCAACCTATAACAGTGACATTAAGAATTGAAATGACATGAAGGTTCCTTGAACCCAACTAACCAAAAAAAAAAAAAACATTCTTTTAGGGAGCTGGAGGGCTAATCCTCCCCTTCCCTAACCCTTCCTGATAATTTTTTAAGGGAACTTAGAGAGCCCCATTGATCATCATAACCATCATCATCATCAAGTGCCTTGTCAGCTGCAGTAGGCATTCATGGATCCCCCCAGATCTGTCTTTTGTCTCTGGATCAATTCCGCTGATATTTCTTTATGCCACTGTCTTAAGCCATCAACCATCATTTCTCTTGGTCTGCCTCTGTCTTTTCAACCAGTGATCTTTCCAGTTGGGATGGTATTTTCTATTGCGCCTTCTCTCATCACATGACCAAAAAACTTGTTTGTCTCCTTTGACCATAGGAATTCTTTTTTGAAAATATATGTACATACATTTCATTTTATTTTGAGTACAGATTTATATTTGTTTGTCATTCAGCATAATGATAATAATAACAGGAAAGAAAAATAAATAAATATAATAATATACTTAAAACATAGACGCCAAAACCTGAAAGCTTTGGCATCTAAAGAACCCTTTCCTCGACTACCCCTCCCCCACCCCCTTTCTTAGGGGAGCAGAGCGCCACCCCCTCCCCCTTTTTCCCCATATATATTATAGACATTTTCTTCTTTTATTGAAGCATTTGTTTACCCATTTCATACTTTTAAAAATTTGTTATTTTTATTTGCTATGCTACTCAGCAAATAATAATAATAGTGTTGTCTGTGGTGGCGTGCCTGTTTGATACTCATATGATGCTGAGTCCACCTGGAAAACATCAAAGTTAAGAGATAATAATTTGTTTTATTTTTTTTGTTTTTGTTTTTGTTGCTGAGTTGAGTTGAGTGGATTCAAGAACCGACAACACAGCACTCGGAGCATTCCCAAAAGCGATCCATCCACATCTTCCGCAGCCAGCGCAAAGTCCCGACACAAGTGGTACCAGTAGCATTCTGATTAAATGTCCGTCTTGCCTTTCCTCTGAGCCTTGAGCTTCTGCCAGAACCTCTCGTCACCCCCAACTGCATCAATCTAACCAAACTGTGGTGATCCATCTGCTCCTCCACATTGTACGTACTCTCCCACAAGGCACTAACCACGTCTGCCCTATCATGTAGCAGTATTCCACCAAGTTGTGCAGAGCCAGCCAGTCTGTCCGCCTGTTCATTTCCCAACACACTGGTGTGACCCGGTGAAAAAATCCAGACAATACTCCTCACTCGTGTCCTCCGCAGCGAAGCATGCCACTCTGCACAAAGCATACCTGTTCTGATCTTCCTCAGCATGCTTTTCCCTGATAAAAAGTACTCCTCACCTGTGTTGTTGTTGTTGCTAATGTTTGGGAACTTACAAGACTGGATTTTTACTAAAATGCTACAAAATATATGAGAAATCAATCTCCGATGATACAAACAGTTTCAGTTTCAGAGGCTATATAAGCACATAAATATAATACAATATTATTTCGGATATTTTGTTCAGGCAACTAACCCTGGATCGAATAAAGAATTCCAGCCTGGAATGAATCCTGGTTTTCGCGTCACCCACAGTAGCGCCAGCAGTACAAAATTGATAAGCACCAAAATTTCTGCAAATCTGAAATATCACATAAAATATAATCACATTTCATCATCATCAAGTGCCATTTCCACAGCAAAGATTTACAGAATAGATCGTAACACATTTTCTACTCTGAGCCTTTGTTGTATATTCTGGTAGACTATATCGTAACTAGACTATATCCTGACGATATCATGATGGTGTCTTTCCATATTTGTCTTTGATGTCTGCTAGCTCATTGAACTAAAGCTTTTTCCTCCTGTATGGTCTTTTAGTAGATTCTTGTGTTGTTTGATGTCATAATTGAATAATTGTTCATTATAACAGCTTATAGATTTGTGATAAGTACAGTAAATGAGAAGTGTATTTTCCCAATAACTAGGATAACATTTCTGTGGGTATATTTGAAATGATTTCAATTATTACTATTTTTTGTTGCAACATTAATTAATTAGTTAGTTAATCTTTCCTCTTGGAAAGACAGAGGTCATAGCTCTCCATGTCTGGCGGTTCGTTGATACCTGCTTCAGGTCTTGGATGTTTGTTAGGCTCCTGGTTGAGCCAGCCAGTTGTCCAAGAAAAATTCCAAATTTGATCCTCTTTCAGCCGCCCGAGGGCCTGCTATATCGAAGAAGGGTCCTTTGCTGTCTTATATGGTATCCTTTTATTTGTGGTGTGTAGTCACACCTGATATTATGGTTGTTTGCTTCCTTGCTGTGCTGCGTTGTTTGCGGTTTTGGGTTCTGGTGTGTTCCAGATCTCTTTGCGGTGATTTTGAAGGGTACTAGCTGACTGTTGCTGGTGCTTGGTTTGCCTCGTGCTGGTCGCTGTGCTGGTGCCCTGTTGCTGCTTGGTTGCCGATCTAAAAGCCGCCGGAAAAAGCCAAACAAACATCCGTTGCACCGTCGATACGAACAATGTTCCTTTTCAGGACAAACAGGGCCGTCACAATCTGTTGTGATCGGCCCAAAAAAAAAAAAAAAAAAAAAATTTTTTTTTTTTTTTTTTCCACGGAGTGTGGAGAAGTAGTGGAGGTAAGATAGACTGCAATGAGAGGTCAGTTTGCCCGAATGTGCAGTAGATGTGATAGTGAGGTCGGAGAATGAGAGTGACAGATAGAGGCAGGATCCATCCCGGTCGGCTGAGGTCACTTGGTCTGAAATAAAAGTGAAAGGCAATTGTTAACATACACGTGGGGTGGGGTGGGGTGGCATGACGGTGTCTGGAATTCCCAAGTGCTGGTCCCCTTAGGTGCAATGCCCTCGGCTGTCTGCTTCGGGGCGTCGGGCGGCCTGTGGTATTTTTCGTTGTCTTCTTTTTTCTGAAAATAAACTAGATTTAGATTTTGGTTAGTTCAATGGTGATTACGTGGTTATTTGCCAGTGGGGCGGAGCGGGTGGGAGTGGCTCCGGTACGTCGACCCGCTGTCCGGTTGGAGGTTGTTTGTTTTAGGCTGTCCTTAAAGATGGCGACTTGTTTGGTGGGCTCTTTCTGTGGCTATTAGAATTGGCGGCGGCCTCGTCTCTTGGGAGTGCCGTTATTCCAATTTCTCTTGCGAATTTGGATCAGGGCCGCATTAAATTCGTCATAGAATTTGTCAAGTAGTCGGCCCGCTTCTGTTTCTTCTGGTGTTTTGTCTTTTTTATTGATGGTTTCCCAGTGGTATTCAAGGCAGTAGTGCCTACTTTCTTCGTCGTACACCAGCTTGTGCAGGAAAACATGCTCGTTGTATTCTTCAAGCAATGCCTCGAGGTCAGCCTCGCAAGTTGCGTCAGCTACTGGTTTTAGGCTGCTGAGTGGGGTGACTGCCTGCCTGGTGGCTGTCTCATCGCTTGGTTCTTCGTACATATCGGGGTCTGTCATCTGTTCCTGGTGCTGCATCACTACCGCTTCGGTAAGTGTGCTTTTGTCGGTATTTGGTTGTTTTACAGTTTTGCTGGAGGCCTCTCTTGCTTTCTCTAGCAGGGCGCGCTCTGTTCTTGCCGCCAGCACTGCAGCTTCTGCTTCTGCTTTTGTCTGGATCATAAGGGTGACTTCTTTGTAAGTGCTCTCGCGGGCTTCCCTAAGTGCTTCGGTTTCGTTTCGTCTCTCCTCCCTTTCTTCCTGTCGGCGGGTCTCGTCTGCAGCTTTCTATGCTTGTAATTTTAGCGTCATTTCTGTCAGCTTTTCTTGCATTCGTGCAGCCTCTGCTAGCCACTTTGTTTGCTGTGATACTTGTTCTTGTCTGTCGTCTTTCAGTGCTTTGATTTCGTCACGCAACTGCGAAATCAGGTCTAGCATCTGCGTTCTGTCAGCGTCGGTGTCGGACTTTTCTTTGCAGAGCTCTGATTTCCGCTAAAATTTCAGAGATTTTTTCAGGGTCCATTGCGGCTGTGATCGTCTTGTCGGTTAGTCTGTCTGTTGTCCGTTGTGCTGGCTTCCCACTCGGTTGCTTTGGTGCTGCTGAGGACCTGGGTGCCACGTATCTCTGTCTGGCTGCTTCGTGGGCGGTTCTAAGTGACCTTTTGCACTGCTGGAGATACGGGCAGCCCATGTATCTCGCGCCGTGCGCACCGGAACAGTTGGAGCACTCGCGGTTGCTGTTCGGTCTTTTAAAATTAGTGTCAATTTTAGCCAGCGGGCACTCCTTGAATTCGTGCGTACCAGAACAGTATCTGCACGAGAGGCTGCTGCGGCAGGACGAAGCTGTATGCCACGCCTTATTGCAGCGCGAGCACTGCATGATGTCTGGTGTGCTGGTCTCAGGCTGCCGCTGCTTGCGTTGGCGAGGGGGTCCTTGGGTCGCTACTGAGGCGGCATCAGGCACCCCTGAAGGGTCGGCTCCCGGAGGAGCGGCCCCCTGTGCTGGTGATCCTGGTGTATCAACCGTAATGGGCGCAGTGTCCATTTTCTACGTCGATAATAAAAGTTCTCGAATTTATTTAGAGGTTAAATGCACGCCCTAGGTCTCGGTTTAGAAAGTTTCTAATGTAAATTATAATTACCTAGGGCGTTGTTTCCTTCCTCTGTTGATTTCTTTGTAGATCTTGTTGCTGGTGGTTGTCGTTGGCTAGGTGCGTACACGGGCTGCTAATGACCCACCCGCAGCCGATTCCGATAGCTCAGTCGAGACAGACTCAGCCGAATATCAAGCGATTCTGTCCAGTAGCTGGCTATCGAAAATCAGGCAACGAATGGATAGTTAGCGGGCAACGTGTTCAGGCGAGGCGGGCTTGCGCGTTCAACGTCTTGCTCGGGCGAAGGCTGTCAGCGAAGTGTTGATTGTTGCTGGTTGAGCCTTCCCTGATGATGGTTTTATGTAGATTCTTGCTTGGTCTTCCCCATTTTTCTTTCCCTTCCGGTGTCCAAATGAGGACTTGATAGGGAAGTCTTGTCTTATCCATGCTGGTTGTATGGCTGATAATGGGGCGCAAGTGGCGCTTTCTTATAAAATTGGATACAATGTCTTGCTTGGTCTTTTGACAATATTAATTTTCTCAGATTTAAAAAAAAAAAAATTCAAGTCAACACACATAGTCTTATGATACTGGCACAAAGAATAATGTGTTATGCAACAGCACATACTGTTCTGAGTTGCCATACTTACGACATTGGTCCCATTTTGACGTACTCCTCCCTCAGGGATATCCTCACTTTTTCATAACAAGTTTTATCCTTTTTCCAAAACTTCAGGCAGCTGTAATAATAAAGTGTGAGGTCCATTCAAGCTTGGTGATGATGATGGTTGTGATAACATTGATGGTGATGGTGATATGTGATGTCAATGATGATCATAAATGCAGCTGTAATAAGTCATCATAATTAACCATAAAAGTAAGTGTATATGGGAGTGTCGCTAATGCTATGATGTTACTTCTTAATTCAATATTCAACATTCAACATTTGAATTCTTTTATTATTATTAATATGAAAATAAACACTATGAAGAAAGAGAAAACGGTGATAAGAAGAAAGAAAGACACTTTAAAATAAAATTTAAAAAATTTAAAAAACTTTTTGGGAGCAATTTTTACATCCAACAGAAAACTGGACAAAAAAAATTAGCTTGAGATGTACCATAGCTAATCACGTAATAGGGCAACTATCTCCCCTGTTGACACACAAGCAGATACCTCGGAGTACTAAAGTGAATCTTATCAGAACTATTTTTTGGCCAACACTATGCAATCAGTGCCAAACGTGGACATTTACATCCTCCAATGAGCGTAAAATTGTGAGAACAGAAATGAAATGCCTTAGAAAAGCTGCAGCAGTTTCAAGGAAAGACAGAATACGAAATCAGACAAATGCTAGGAATGAAGCCAGTCTTACAGGTCATCAAAGTACAACAAATAAAGACTCCAAACAACAATGCCCTGGTACTATCTGCCACAGTGAAGTACACTAAAACGTTACAACGAGTATAGAGAAAGTGGAAGACCTCGGAAAATATGGAATGATGGCATTAAAAACAGCCTTACAGAAATGGACATCAGTCTTAGTAGTGCTTTTGACAGAGCTCATCAACGAATGTTACACCCACCCCACCTCCTAACACTTAGCTGAGGTACAAGGTGGAAGAGAAGAAGAAGAAGTAGATTCTTTGATTTACAAATGTTTATGGTACTGTAAGATGGGAGGAGGCTCTTGAGTATAACGATTTAAGTCTGCCTTGCTAGGGGTGAGCTTCTTAGTGATAAAACTGTCAACTATCACTACTCTCTGTATCTATCACATTTCAGGCAGTGTAAACGGGGGGAGGGGGCGAGCCTGAGGATTTAGGGCCACTTGGCTAGTGCTGTTGCCACAGACTGTACAGGTTAGGATGTTTAATTCTGCCCCCACACAAAAAAACTCAATCCCCTTACCAGAGTTCTAACCTAGGACTCCTGCATGAGAGCCTAACATTGTAACTGCTCGGCCATCAGCTCCTCACTTAATGATAAAGCAGACTTAAAGAAGGTACTGATAGACTAATTCAACAGTAGTGGGAAGGAAAACTGAGAAGGGGAGGGGGAGTGGAGGGAGCTCGAAATGGAAAAGGGGGGGGGGGGGTGGGTAAAGAGGTTCTGGAAGATATTCAACACTGGGGGTGGAGGTGGACTTTTAATCAGGTTGCAACTGGTGCAATTAACATATCAACTCTTCTTTAGCTACTGATGGAGGAGACCAGGAGTGAGTGGAAATATCCTTACTGCAGTGATGTCAGTTCCTTCATTCATTCAATATTTCTACATTGCTAATGCAGTTGCAGTTCCTTGGTGGTGGCTTACTCCCAGAAATGAAGCCACTGACAAGGAAAGTAGAGATACAAAAACATCCCAGTTTTGATACTCACGAACCATCAGGCAATTAGAACAACATAGAAATTACCATGCAAGTGAGCGTTGACAACACGAGAAAAGAGACAACGGTTAAACCCTTGAAAATAAGGAATACATGGCACCTCCACAACATAGGACAGGCCGTGGGGAGGGGAAAGAACTTTCACCATGAGGGGGAGTTCATGATAAGTATCAAATAATTTTATTTTACTTAAAATTGAAAATGAGAATAAACTTGTCAGCAAACATCGGTACCTTAGCTCTCTGAGGAGGATACGGACACGACTTGCTCATACCAAGTGTTTCTTTCCTGTGTCTTTTTGATGCTTTTAATGCTTTATTCTAAGTTTGGGAAGTGTTTTATGTGTTAAGAAAATCGTACTTTAAGTGTATATTTAAAGGCCATCAGTATATGGGTACCTGAAAACTTCATAAAAATATGTCCACTGTTAGTTTTATAATCTGTGGTTATAAAGAGGTATATTTTTTTTAGAGATATCTACAGGAAAAATGGTGCATTTTAGAATTTAAAAAAAAAAAAATTCAGATAACCGCATTTGAGAAATAGTTGGAATAAGACGATGTATGAATTGTATTGATGGACAAAGAATGAAATGGTTCGGCCTTCTAGTGAAAATGCAGCCAGAAATAACTGCATCTAAGACTTTTTAACAGCAGGAATTCAGGGAAGAAGTTAATAGGAAAACCAAGAAAGATATGGTTAAATGGTGTACCTGAAACCTGTGAAAAAATGAACAAATCCACCACAAAAGTGACCCAAGAAGCACAAGACAAATACAGAAAACCACAACGCTGGGCTACTAACTATATCCGTGAAACCACAAAATAATAAGAAGAAGAAGGGTAACAGATATTCAGATGTAAGTCTTTTAAAAGAAACACAAGTATACATTACCTGAGTCCTTGAGAGTAGAGCTGCATCCAGAGCCAGAGGAACACAAAAAGAATGATAGCCATTGGTATACCTAAAGCCAGCCAGTTGGCAAAGTTGACTGGGTTGGCAGCTGCATATTTCAGGTACAGGCTGTGTAAAATGAAAACCAAAGTATGTGAGGGAAAAGATCCAGGGATGTTATTTTTTTATTATTTTCGTCTTGAAAAGTGTGGCAGCAGCATGAAGAGTCTGAAAAGCTCTGCTTTAGACTAGAGTTCTTCAACCTGTGGACCGCGATCCCCTGATGGGCCAGGAAAAGTGCAGGTGGATCAATAAACTTGTCTGTTTAATCTTCTTCTTTACACTCACCAGCTGTAAACTCTGGCAGAAAGTTATGGTTGTTCCTCCGCTTCTGGACTCTAGTCATGTGCCAGTAACTGAGTGCTGTGTGCACATCCGTTTCATAGGTCTGACTCATTTGCATGCAGACTGTTGGTTCTTTGCCTCTCAAGCAGATACACTCCAACTTCGAAGGAAGCTCCCAATTAGTCAACTTTTATGACATGCTTGTTGAGCAAGCAGTGGGTCTATTCTTGCCTTGAAATATTCTGAGGTTGTATGAAGTCAGAAGAAAATATTACCTTTGTACTGTGGTAGCGAAACCTGAGATGTTTGTTGAATGTTCTGGTTGCCAGCAGATGGGAATGGGGGTTGGGGGGGGGGGGGGGGTTTGGGTGGGGGGCACTTTCTAGAAAATAATGTAAAGGCAGACCTCAGCTAACGTTGATAAAAGACACTTAACTCTTTGAGTCCCAAGGAACGCATCATACGTCCATAGGTTCCTACCTAGAAGCCCAATGAAAGCATGATGCGCCGATTTTATGAATTTCTTGACTACCCCCTGGGGCTCAAAGAGTTAAGATGCTTTGACTATAAAAGCTGATAGGACTGAGGAATTGGCTAGAGCAAGAGTGACTTTCAGCCCTGCTATAAAGACAGCGACATTTCAATTAAGACTATGTTAGCAATGTGTCTTTATGCTTGCCTGTTGGCACATGGGACTTCAGCCTGATTCACATCTGGGAATCAACAAACACAAATGACCTGGACTCCTAGGTCAACCCAGCAAGAAACAGGTACCAGAAAATATTACAGGTCATAGAGGCAGCTGGTATAATATAAACCACAGCACCCACCAAATGCCAATTGGCCTAATAAAAAGTTAGGTCCAACAAACACCATATGCTTGATGTTCTAGTGTCATATAGAATGTCATTTGTCTTATTTATTTAATTTGTTGTTGTTGAACATTCTTATTGCTTACCTGTCAGACAAGCCCTTGAATATGACATTGGGTGGAGTTCCTGTCAAAGTAGCCATTCCTCCAATGTTTGAACTAAAAGCTGCAGCCAGGGAAAATGTCTTGGCAAATCCTAAAAATTGATTCTCCCTCTCTGCTCTGTTGTAGGTCAGTCTAAACAGTATCAGAAAATATAACTGGTCATTTTTTAATGACAATAAGAATCAACTGCAACCTGTGTGGGTTGCAGTGTTCCATTTGAGGGGAGCAGAACAGACCCTCTGACTCTCTAACCAGTTAATAAACCTGATGTGAAAGGTCACTTAGTCAAAGTTTCAACTTCACTACAACCAGGTCACCATATACTTGCTCTGTTGCTGTGCCAGTTACACTCAAATGAAATATTCCTCATTGTCCCTATTTGAAAAACTGGTGAAGAAACAATTGTTCTGGCAAAATCCAGAAATATACGCAGTCAGTAAATGACTATAGCAGTTGCTAAAAGCTAACAGTAACTACCAAAAATGATAGAAGTACTTGGTCACAATAAGTTGGCTATACACATGTAAAATTATTACAAAAGTCCACTAATTAGGTGTTTGCTAAAAATCAGGTATGTTGAGCCAAAGGGCGCAGACAAAAACTGTAGTACCATAGTACAACATGTCAGCTGCTCTTTAAAGGCAGAACAAAGAAATAAAAGATTTAAATACATTTTTATCACTTCTTTCTTTCCTGTGCAATTCTTTTATTACTGTGTATGGAATTCAGTAGGGCACTTCTTGCCTCTCTCATCAACATACATTAACATTATTTGTCTTGGATGTTGTTTGTATTCCCAGTCCTTTTGTTTCCTATTACAGTATCTCTTATTGTGAGTCTTTATCCATTCAGTCTCATAATGTACCCAAATTAGTTCAGTATAAGCATGAATGACTTTCATTTTTAGAGTATCATTTTTAGAGTAAATTTGCTGAACAATCATCCTGTAAGGTGTGTAGTTTTTTCTTCTTCAGATGACCTTGTACAGTGCCTAGCTGACTTACTTGCTTGTCTTATCATATTTATGAATCCTAATCAAGTCTTGAGGAACCAAGTCTTCATACATATGAGATACATCTGTAAAACAGATGTGCATGTAAAAACTCTTGTTCTAGAACAAGGCTGAAGTCTAGAAGTTGATATACAGCCAGAAGTCTCTGCCAGAGTTTGCAGCCAGTGAACATGAAGAAGAAGCAGAAGTTCCACAACACCATGTGTCATTGGGTCACCAGCCGCTGATGACTGATTAGCTATTTCAACCTCTGTCAGTCTGGTGCATGTCTAAAGGCTTATAGTTGAGCTGCCAGATGTTGCAGTTGTTTACAAGATGTGTTATTTCAATAACTGCTTTCTGTCTGGGCAACAGCCTGTACTCCAATTCGATGTGCTTAGGCTTGTGCCCTAGAGTGGCTACTCGCTTAAACAGCTTGGCCACAACACAGGATCAGCAGTTACCAGTTATAAGCCTATGCTCGACTGGCGTAGTGCAAGGTGCCAGGGGTTGCTTTCGCGGCTAGAGGGGATATCATCGTAATCTCATTGAACAGCTACTGCCCGCCTCAGCTGGGCAGCCCCTAGTAAAGTGCTGTCTCGTCATGGTCCGTTTGCCTTGCTGGCAGCTCAGGGCTTAGAGGACAAGGTGACATGTTGATCATAACCCCTGTACCTACAATAAGAAAGCAACAACAACAACAAAATAATCCCAGCTCTAAAGCTGGGCATGTGGAATGTGAGGTCCATAATACCAGGTTTTCTAGAAAATCTTCAACATGTGAACGATGCTAGAAAATCTGCAGTTATCAACTATGAACTTTACAAACATAACATGAACATAGTTGCTCTACAGGAAGCACAACCTTGCTCCTCTTTGCATCAAGGACAATACATTCTTTTGGCAGGGAAAAACCATCTTTGGTGCCCAGAGAACAAGGCATAGGCTTTGAGCCAGGAACCATTTACTTGGTACTGTCATACCACCTACAGAAGGACCAGAAAGGACACAAAGACACCGGCGTTGGTTGGGTCATGTCTCTCACATGGAGGACGTTTGTGTTGCAAAGGATCTCATGTAAAATGAACTGATGACAGGGATAAGATCTGCAGGAAAGCCAAAACTACACTATAAGGATGTTTGCAAACATGAAAAGATATCAGCAAGAGAAACCCTAAAATTAATGCTGATGAAAGAAGTCAACAGTGTTGGACTAAATTTCATGCAAAACATTGAAAGAATTGCACAGGACAGAATGGGGGTGAAGAAAGACAATGTGAGGCATGTGTGTTACATAATGGCCTGACCTAATTGTGATGATGCATAAGCAGATTCCTGAACAATACCTTCTTTCCTCAATTTCCATCTCCTTCTTTTTGTGGTCTGTATAGTTATTTTCTGTGCCATCAACGGTGATTACCATTCCATGATGCTCATCCATCAGTATTTCTTCATGGCAGTCTGCAGAAAAGTATTTTTTATTAATATCATTATCATCATCATCTTTTAACAGGTCCTTTGTAAAACATCGCTCTTATCGCAGTCTGCCTGAAAGAAACTCAACCTCTTGCTAGCTCTCCAGCCTCATGGACGTTCATATTCAAGAAGTCACTTATATCCTGTGCCCATCTTTGTGTTGGTCAGCCCCTGCCCCTCCTTCATGGTACCAAGCCTTCTGTGGTTACTTTTTTTCTAATCGGCCACAGTGCTTGATATGTCCAAAATATTTCATTTCCGAGACAAGATGACATTTATTAGATAATCATCCTTGATGTTCAGATCTTTAATAGCATCAGCACTTTAAAAAAAAAATATTCCACATGGGTAACTTTATATCTGTGTTGTAAGACATTTAAGACATGCATTTATAAGTAGACAAGCTGACAAACATTTCAAGCATGTCTTAAAAAGTAACTAATTAGTGGTGTTTTTTCCGAATTCTGAGTACACCTGTCTGAGAGGCAAGGAACTAACAGTCTGCATACAAATATGCTATATCCCTAAAACAGATGTGCATGCAAAACTTAAATTCTGGAATGAGAATAAAGTCTAGAAGTGGACAAACAGCCAGATCTTTAAGCTCGAGTTTAAAGTGGGTGAACAGGAATAAGAATTAGCAGTAGACAGCCTGTTTTCTAGACATATTAAAAGAAGGAAGGAAGGAAAAACTTGGTAATGACTAGCAATACTGATGGAAAGAGACCTTAGGGAAGAATGTAGAATGTTGAATGCTAAATTAAGAATATACATTAAAGCACTTGAGACACCCCCATAAGCACTCTGTCTGCATCTTCAGCAGCAAGTGAAGAGTTCTTATTCCAATGGTACCAGCAACTGTCTGATTGTATATTTTTCTTGCCCCTCCCTTCAGTGTTGAGCATTGCCTAGATCCCCTGTTAACTTCCGGCAGTGCCATTCTCCTCAGACTGTGATGATCTATTTGCGCTTCTGCACTGTTTACTCGCTCCCAAAGGGCCCTCACAACAGGTAGCTTGTCATATATCACAAGTGGTGCAGAACCAGCCAGTCTATTTGCCTACTCATTTCCTAACACTCTGGCATGACTGGAGAAAAAATCCAAAAGACGCTAATCTGCCGGAACCTCTGAAGTGATACTTGCCACTCTGCATGGAGTATGCCTGTCTCCACCTTTCTCAAAATGCTCTGTGAGTCAGTTACTCCTTTCTATTGAGGGTAGGGGACAGGGGGCAGTGAGTCCACATATTGATACAGTTATTTGTTTTCCCTATTTATGTTTGTCCTATACAAAAGCAAATTTATACACCTGATATTGTATGTAAACCCAGGTCTCCTGGTAGAGAAAGCAGAGTTTGAAATACTCGGCCCCTCATTCCACTCCTGTTGAATTAGGGGGAAAATAGACAAGGGACCTTTTGCACACCAGTTGTGCACAGGATGTGTGCTAGATTCATAATTTCATAGAACAATCCACACTTAATAAATGATTATCAAAATTAGGCTAGCCACCTTTACTTCCCCTTACATTTTCTGGTACCAGTTTTAGGAAAAAATAATTGTATTAAAAATAACAGTAATAAAAGCACATCTTTTTTAAGGACACCTTAAGCTTGCTTGTGTGAAATGTATTAATATATTCAAATTCATATAGTACATCACTTTAACCTATAAACTGACAGTGATGGTCCTTTTGGGTAGGGGTCAATCCCCCTGATTTGCATTCGAACCTACAATCATCATCATCAGTTCTCGTTATGCCTAGTAGCACATGAGGCTTCAGAGAGGACTTTCCATGCTTTCCTGTCCTGTGCAATCTTCAGTACAGTTTTCCATGTCAAAGATGCCGAACTCAGGTCACTTTCCATCGCTCGTCTCCATGTTGTTTTGGGGCGTCCCTGTTTTCTCTTTCCCTCTGGTGTCCATGTGAGAGCTGTTTTGGCGGGTAAATCAGGATTCATTCTCATATTGTGGCCAAGCCATTTCCATCTTCTCTTGGTTATCATACTGTCTAAAGTTTCTTGGTTTGTGACTCGAAGTAGTTTAGTGTTTGAGATTGTATCTGGCCAGAAAATTTTGATAATTCTACGTAGACATGTGTGGTGAAAGGTGAACAGCTTGTGTGTATCCTGTCTGGTCATTCGAACCTGCAACCTCCTGATTAAGGTATTAATGGCAATAAAGTTGTGTTTTCTTCACCAACCCTGTGACTGGCAGTCCTTGATCTGATGCAGGATAGCTGTAACAATTGGCATCATCATTGCTGTGGTGGCTGTGTTACTCATCCACATCGACAAGATCCAGGTGGGTAGCATCACCCCCAGTAGAAGCCTGAACAAAGTCATTGTGGTGGTAAATAATGTCATATGTTTAGTAAAGGAAGTCAAGTATAGAAACCTGTTCTACTGCTTAAGACATATTGGGCTAGGCCTGTATTTTATAAACAATCAAGGTGGGTGATGTGGTCAAGATTGTGCTGACCATCAGGACTTTACCTGGTACTCATTTAACCCTGGGCTAACCTGGAAGCCAAGGTCATTAAAAAAAAATATCAGGCTCTATTCGGATTGGGTTAAGGTGAGTTGAGTCAAGAATTGACATCACAGCACTTGGAGCATTCCACTGCATGCTCCATCCTCATCTTCAGCAGCCAGCATAGAGTTCCAATACTGATGGCACCGGTCATAATCTGGTTATATGTCCGTCTTGCCTTTCCTCTGAGTGTAGTGAGCTGGCCAGGCCCTCTGGTTACACCCAGGTGCCCCATTCTCTCCAGGCCATAATAATCTTCTTTCTCTAATGATTCTGTTGCTTGTACCTAAAGGGCCTTAACCACATCTGCCTTTCCATGTATCAATTCACCACCCAGTGGTGCAGATCCAGCCAAACTTTTTTGCCTGGTAAATACCCACTACGCTGGCATGGCTTGAGAAAAGATCCAAAGTATGCTCACTACCCATGACCTTCCCAGTGAAGCTTCTAATTCTAACCCACGACCTTCAGATTTGCAGGTGAGCATCTAGCCTTGACACCACAGTGGCTCCCCAGTCACATAATTCAAGGATAGTTGACATGCTGATTCAGAACAGAGTACTATAAATTATCTTTTAGTTACAAGGTACTTCGATGGTAAAGCAACATTGAAATTCATAACCTCTTTCTTCTTCTTCACTTCCTTTTTTTACCACTCCAGATGTAGAAGAAGATCTAAGGCTTATAGCTTTCTTTAACTGCCTTGACCACACACACACTGTGCTGTTGTAGAGTTTCACTGATATTATCTTTCCTTCTTGTTCTTGGTCTACGTGGTTCTCTGTATTCTTCCTCTCTTTTCGTGTAAGCCTTATATGGTAGGTGGTCACACAAAAAAAGAAATACTCGTTAAGTGTGTAAACCATTTGATTTACTGTCTTCTTCTTCCTCTTACTCTTTTTTTCTTCTTTTCATCTTCTTCTTGTTTCTTCTTCTTCTTCTTCTTCTTCTTCTTCTTCTTCTTCTTCTTCTTCTTCTTCTTCTTCTTCTTCTTCTTCTTCTTCTTCTTCTTCTTCTTCTTCTTCTTCTTCTTCACTGTGTTCTTCTTTACATCCATCAGCTGTAAAGTCGGACAGAAAGTTTAGGTTATTTGTCCACCTCTGGATGAAACTCTTGTTCTGAAACTTGAGTTTTGCTTGCACATCCATTTTACAGATCTGGCTTATTTGCATGCAAATTGCTGGTTTCTTGTCTCTTAGAGAGATGCCTTCAGCCTTCAAAGAAAATACACCTTACTAGTCGACTTGTAAGACATGTTTGTTAGTGGTGTGGGTCAATTTCCCCCCCCCCCCCCTTCTCCCACAATAGGGCCCGGCTTTCATACTGGGAGCACCCAGATCAATCAATCATGCAATTAACTGCCATTGCAACACTGAAGGTCGGCTACAAAGGATTTCCAAAATGCTCCATCACTTGTCTGGGTATCATCTCTCAGACTGCTGTTTGCCCATCTCTTGTCTGGGTATCATCTCTCAGACTGCTGTTTGCTTATCTCTTGTCTGGGTATCATCTCTCAGACTGCTGTTTGCCCATCTCTTGTCTGGGTATCATCTCTCAGACTGCTGTTTGCCCATCTCTTGTCTGGATATCATCTCTCAGACTGCTGTTTGCCCATCTCTTGTCTGGATATCATCTCTCAGACTGCTGTTTGCCCATCTCTTGTCTGGATATCATCTCTCAGACTGCTGTTTGCCCATCTCTTGTCTGGATATCATCTCTCAGACTGCTGTTTGCCCATCTCTTGTCTGGATATCATCTCTCAGACTGCTGTTTGCCCATCTCTTGTCTGGGTATCACCTCTCAGACTTCTGTTTACCCATCTCTTGTCTGGGTATCCACTCTCAGACTTCTGTTTGCCCATCTCTTGGTGTTGTCCTCTCAGTTTTAATGCTGTCTACCTCTTGAAAAGGTCCATTACTACAAAATACAAAACGCTTCATGTCAGGGTAAGAGTCTTTTTATGAGAGTAGAAGAAGGTATGAAATGAAATTCTGTGAAAGAGGGTTTGGAGCTGACGGCGAAGAAGGAGAATGTTTTACCATTTGGGTTCAGGCCCCACTAAAGTCAGTGTCCTCAAAGCCAGACGTTTGTGAAGATTCCACTTCTCAACAGCCACAGCAACTATCAGACTCCCCAGAAAAAGCATCAGCGTATCCTGGAATTTCAAGACAAAAATCATTCGTAAGAATTAGGTAAGTAAACGTCGCTTTTCGAAGTCCTGAAGCGTGTTGGAGGAGGACGGTGGTGGTTGAAGTAGGGGCAGCGAAGAAGAAAGAGAAGAAGAAAGATAAGAAGAAGAAAAAAAAGAAGAACAACAACAACAGCAACAGAAGAAGGAGGACACGAGGAAGAATGAGGGAGGAGCAGAAGGGGTAGCAGGAGGAGGGGGTGAAGAAGAAGAAGAAGGAAACAGCCACCGCATAAGAAACAGAAGAGGAGGAGAAGAAGAAAATGGTGATAATGACGATGAGGAGGAGGAGGAAGAGAATAGACAAATGCATACAAATAGCACCACACTCTTGCACACTCCGGCAAACTTACACACTCCAGGTCCATTCTAGCTAGTTAAACGCACAGAAACCCGCTCCTTTTATATTCAACTCAAGATAATGTAATTTACCTATTTTATAATCTAGTGCATTAAAACGCTCTTGTTTTTTTTTTCTACCCACCTTATTTTCAATTATTTCCATTTTTTTTCTAACAGAACATAGAGGGGCTACGAAACAGAGAAAGTGACAGAGAGGTTGAATTAGAGAGAGGAAGAGTGGAGAGCGATGTATACACAGTATATATATATATATATATATATATATATATATATATATATATATATATATATATATATATAAATAGCGGACA